TTTGCAGATCTGGAAAAAACACACCAAGCTCACCATAACTCAAGTACAAATACAAATGCCTCTTGTATTAAGTCAATATTTGTTTATCCTGGCGTTCACCTTTAGGATCACCTAAAACAGCCCTATTAAAAAGTGCAAGTCCACCCAAAATATATTATTCTGTTTTGGGAAAAGTCTGATAGAGTCTGAACATCTACAGCTTACACAACCCATCCATGAGGTCCTGGCTCTCCACCCTTTTCCTCTGTGTCAGCCTTTGCAGGTGGAGTACAGTATTAGTAACATCACTGCTCTGCGTAAAAGTGAGCAAGGTCAGAGATGTGGACTATGGATCCCATACCTTAAAAGTGCATGTAAAGCCAAAACATTTTTAAATCGAGGATAGAATAGGTAGGGTTAAAACCCTGTCCGTTTATTTTTGTCATCTGTGTCTCATTGGGTAGATTTCCTTTCACTTCTTGTCCCAGAGGCACAACAGGAAGTGGGAGAAAATCTCTGCAAAGCGAAGGGAATCCTTTTTTAGAGAGCTGTCATAAAAAACAGGTAACTCAATTGGAAGATTTACTCTCACTTTCTGTCCCCGTGACAAATGTAAAAAATGTTATGACCTGTTGTCTTTGTGACAAATGTGACTAGGACAATTAAGAAGGGTAAATCTCCCAGCGGGTACATAGACAGCAATAAAAGCTTGACAGGGCTCATAGTCCTTTCCTACGAGTTTTGGTTATGCACATGCTTTAGCAAGCTATTGTTCCTTTGTGGTATGCCAGTACTCATCAGTGTGTTCAATATTCATTATGGTGCTGGAACCAGCTTATCTTCTATATCTTTACTGCTGCCTGTCCCTGCCTCAGCCTGGAGCTCCATTTAATGTGAATTCTGCCTGCGCTGACCATGGCTTGGTCTGTAGACCATGTTCTTACCTTTTGACTTGACTAATTTACTCAGTGTCCTGTCTGCAAAGCCATCTGTTGCCCATAGGTCTAAATAGAGATTTGGGGGTAGGGAGAATCAGGCAATAAATCCCATACCTCCATGCAGGAGCTCCTGGAGACAACCAAATGGTCCTCTTACTCCACACCTCAGTAGATCCCAAATCCATTGCTGGTGACACAAAAGGTATACACTATACTGGTGGCTTGAACATAGTGCTAAAAGGCTTTGATACTTGTATGTGCGAGCATTAATGTTCCTTGATTCCCTTGAGTTTATAAATATTCATGGATGCTGAGATACTTAGATTTCCATCAGAGATAAGGTGCTTTAATCCCCTTGGTGAAAAACATTATAGTGCTTTGATTCCTTGGAAAAAAGCATTAAAGCAGAACTCCAAGTGAGCATTTACATAGCTAATATATATAGAAAGTCAGGATGCGTCCCAGTGACATGTTTGCTGTCTATTAAAAAAATACAGTATTTTCATTTATACTCCTTGTGCCAAGTCCAATGAGTGCCTGCATCATTTCTAATGTTTTGTATTGAACTCTGTTTGCCATGCAAGTACCACTTGTCTGCACAGCTTTATATATAGTATATATACACTCACCGGCCACTTTATTAGGTACACCTTGCTAGTGCCGAGAAAAATATCCCCGAAACCATTACACCACCACCAGCCTGAACCATTGATACAAGGCAGGATGGATCCATGCTTTCATGGTGTTTACGCCAAATTCTGACCCTACCATCTGAATGTCGCAGCAACCAGTCTGCTCATTCTCCTCTTACATCAACAAGGCATTTTCGTCCACACAACTGCTGCTAACTGGATATTTTTTTTTTTTTTTTTTGGACCATTCTCTGTAAACCCTAGAGATGGTTATGCATGAAAATCCCAGCATATCAGCAGTTTTTGAAATACTCAGACCAGCCCGTCTAGCACCAACAACCATGCCACGTTCAAAGGCACTTAAATCCCCTTTCTTCCCCATTCTGATGCTCAGTTTGAACTTCAGCAAGTCACCACTTCTAGGTGCCTAAATGCATTGAGTTGCTGCCATGTGATTGGTTGATTAGCAATTTGTGTTACCAAGCAACTGAACATGTGTACCTAATAAAGTGGCCGGTGAGTATATATATCTATATATATATATATATATATATACATACATGAACTATAATGGTTACAAAAAGATTTGTGACAACCCTGTTGCCCACCTTTAGCCTGTTCATTGGATAATTATTCAACATCATCACCTCTGTACAATCAGCAGACAGATGGGAGCTGTGAAACTAACCTGGGAGATAGAATAGTGATCTTCCTTCAAATCCAAAAAGAAATTTCCACATGTCCATTACCTAGACCTGTTCCCTTCTAATCCTTGCAGTCTGCTCTGCAGCGTACCCTGCACCTTACTTCACCCCAGACCCAAAACTAAAGCAGAACTACATATTTGCTATCACTTTAAATACAATGTTTGGGCCAGCTTGGGTAAACTGTCATTTTTAGTCCCCATCATGACAGGGTGACAACACAGGAGCACAAGTAGGAGACCGGTACAGAGCATTGTCACTCTACTAAAAAGTTCCTGAACAAGGACCTTTATAGTAAGATCACCTTTTTTTTCTAAAAATTTCAGTTTTAAACAGTTTCGAAAAGATGTTAAACATGTTAAAACTTATATGAGATGTAATTATAGGGTTTACATCTACTTTAATTCAACCCTTAATGTGTTTGTAAAGCTTAGGCATTTTCTACCTTAAAGCATTCCCTGTAGTAAGGTAAAATGTTTCAGTGTGTATATCGCCCTGTCACCCCCTTTATACTTACCTGAGTCTGATCTTGATCCAGAACTGTGCCTATCTGCAGCAGCAACTCTATCTTCTTCTCCCTGTTCTCATGGGCTTTGCTGAGAGTAGTGGGAGCCTTTAGCTCTCCCTGCTTTTAGGCCTCTCAAAAAAAAAACAGATGTTAACGGATGTAAACAGATGATCATCCATTTACATCCGCTAATACATAGAAATACATGGATGTCCGTTTTTCCTCCATAAATGGACAGATGAAAAATGGACATCCATGTATTTCTATGGATTAGCGGATGTAAATGGATGATCATCTGTTTACATCTGTTAATGTCCGCATCCATTAACATCTGTTTTTTTTTCAATGGAAGAAACCCTTATTTTTCTTCCGTGAAAAAAAAACAAAAAACGGAACGGACGTAAAACTAATGTAAACAGACAAAAACTGATGTAAACGGATGAAAAATGGATGTAAATGGCCAAAAAAGGCTGTAGACTAATGTAAACGGACACAAAAATACATGTAAACAGACAACAAAAAGGGTTAAAAGCAGATGTAAACTGACGAAAAACTGACGTCAAGTGATGAAAAACTGATGTGAACAGATCCGTTTTTTCTTGGGAAAAACATGACTGAACTGATGAAAAAAAAACGGAATGCCCATGTCAAAGGGGCCTTAGTCAAATCCTGTGACAAGGGAGAGGGGGAAGCAAGGCTGAGACTTGCTGTCTGTGTCTATAGATGTAGACAGCATGGCTCGGGATCGAACTGCAGGTGTGCCATGATAGGAAGCAGCTTCCTGTTGTGACGCACCAAGAAAAGGAGGAGCACCGGCAGAGAACCTAAGAAGAGAAGGCTCAGAGTCGCTCTGTGCAATTCACTTGCACAGACCAGGTAACTATAACATATTTATTATTTTAAAGGGAAAAAAAAAACTTTGCCTGCGCTTTAAGACATGTTTTACTGCAGCTGGAAAACTCCCAACCCTGTAAACCCTTACCTCTAACCAACGATAAATACACTCCTAAAAATCCACTGTTACCTTACCAGTATCCCTGGTGGCAAAAGCCCTTTCTCCTGTTTGGAGATCTTCCATTTTTCTGCATTGCAGGAACCATAAAGCTAGGTGAACAGAATAACTAGTTCTTTGGCAGGTAACCAATTTTGAAATATGTGTTCAACTGTTGGCGTGAAATTCTACTTTAAAGCCCACTGATTCTCATTAATGAAGTCAAGTGCCAGAGTTCTTTGATTCTCCTTGGTGAAAATGTGCTAAACAGCACTGAGTCACAAGAGTACATACAGTACATTAAACTTAATTACCACGAGCACATACATTATATACATTAAAGAGTGATAATGTTCTTTGGGTTTCATGGGTTAAAAGGTTTAAAGTACCTTTACTCCCGTGGGCAGAATGTACTAAAGTTCTTGAATACCCAGGTGCCTAAGTTCCTGGATTACTACGAGTGAAACATGTTGATGTAAATTAGTTCCCATGTCTGATATGTAGCTGTTCATTGATTCCTATGAGAACAGACATTTGGCAGTAGTAATAATAATAATAATAATAAATAAACACCCTAATTGTAAACACAGTGGTATGTGTACGCCCCCGGAGATGTTTTGGACAACTTCCAAAAGATTTTTCCCTTGTTAATGTATATATAAAACCCAATTACTAAAATCTCATAGAAACGTTAAAGCTGAACTCTGGAGAAATGTAAAAACTACCCGTGCAGTGCAGCTCCTCTCGTGCTGCAAGGGTTAAATGCTTGTTTTTTGTCCAGGGAAATATAAAAAGCAATTTTACTTACCTTATCGTTTGCTTCCTCAGAAGCCGATGTTCTCTTCTTCTCTCTGACGCTCTGGGCTGGGGCTAGGCCCTTGGCATTCTCACTTACAATGCTGGTCCTTTTTTCAGAGAATATGTGCAGGTACCCCCTCCTACAGACTCACCCCTTCTTATTGGCCCCTTACCCACCTCCGAGCACCATCCCTTGGTACCACCCCCTACCTACCTCCCAGTACCTCCCCATTTAGGGAATACAGTATAATTTTGTGATGCTAAGCAATTTGTATTAGAATTTGTTAATAATAACAAGAAAAGCAGTAAAATAGATCCCCTGTAGCCAGCAACAATAGACTCCCCCTAGCAACAACATACCCCAGCAATAAAATACGCCCAGCAGCAACAGATCCGCACCCAGAAACAATAGACCCCTCAGCAACAATAAATCCCCCCCAGCAATAATATACTCCCACCAGCAGGGGCGAACTGACCATTGGGGAACTCGGGCACTGCCCGAGGGCCCGGGGTCAGTAGGGGGCCCCATGAGATGTCCTTTGTACCTTTCATAGAGTTTTTTGGCAGTGATTTGAGTGTGGGCGAAGACACGGGGGCCCCATGATCCCCTATTGCCCGGGGGCCCCATGAGTTGTCAGTCCGCCCCTGCCCACCAGTATCAATAAACCCTCCAACAGCTGGCAACAATAGAGCCCCCCCCCAGCAGCAATATATTCCCCCAGTAATTATAGATCAGATCTCCTAGGAACAGTAGATCCCCCACTAGCAACAATAGCCACCCCCTGCAACAAAAAAAGCGCCCTGAAACTATAGATCGCCCTCCATCCTCCAACAGCTGGCAACAATAGAGCCCCCAGCAGCAGTAGATTCCCCCAAAAGTATAGATCAGATCTCCTAGGACCAGTAGATCCCCCACTAGTAACAATAGCCACCCCCTGCAACTAAAAAGCCCCCCTGCAACAATAGATCGCCTTCCATCCTCCAACAGATGGCAACAATAGAGCCTCCCAGCAGCAGTAAATTCCCCCAGCAAGTATAGATCAGATCTCCTAGGACCAGTAGATCCCCCACTAGCAACAATAGCCACCCCCTGCAACAAAAAAGCCCCCTGCAACAATAGATCGCCCTCCATCCTCCAACAGATGGCAACAATAGAGCTCCTCAGCAGCAGTAGATTCCCCCAGCAATTATAGATCAGATCTCCTAGGAACAGTAGATCCCCCACTAGCAGCAATAGCCACCCCCTGTAACAAAGAGCCCCCTGCAACAATAGACCCCCTCAGCAACAATAGATCCCCCAGCCAGCATCAGTTGGTGTGACCCTCCAGCACACAGCAGCACCCTTTGCCATTACATATATTCAGTGCTGGAGGAACTGAAATTGCATTTCCCCGTGTTCCTGCTGAAAAAAAGCCTTGGTCACAAGAAGTAATACCGTTTGGTTGGTTTATGATTGACTGGTGAGGTTCTTCAGAGAGACAGGTGTGGAGCTGAATACAGGATGTGTCCATATATGTGTCTGTAAGCTATCAGTACTGTTAGCCCCTGATGACATCCCATGAAACGTGAAACGTGTAGGATAGAGCTTTGCATGCTGGTGCCACACACTGTCAGCTCTATTCAGGTGACAACATTTTCATGTAAGTCTGCTTTGCTGGCATTTATTCTTTAATCTTTAGTGTGTGGTTTTAATAACAGACTTTGCTGCACTATTGGAGCATTTTACTTTGTTTATGATCACATCATTTGGAGAAAATTTGTGTTTTTACATTGTTCTAAATACCCTGCTATTCGAAGTCTTAAGTGTGTATTGCCCTCTTTATAGGCAGTGCGGTCTTATATTTTGGTGAGTGTCCATTTGGATTTTCAGGTCATGATGGCGACTCTGCACAGTGGATATGCTAAAATGCACACATATTACACATTTGGTTAGATCCTCTAAATATTTTGAGCATGAACATCTAGTGAGTGGTGGCACGTATTTTATTTCAGGTACTTATATAGAGCTATCAATTTACGCAGTGCTTTACATATATACTGTACATTCACATCAGTCCCTAACCCTCAAGGGGTGTACAATCTAAGGTCCCTAACTCACATTCATACATACACATACTAGGGACAATTTAGACAGGATCTAATTAACCTACCAGCATGTCTTTAGAGTGTGGGAGGAAACCGGAGTACCCGGGGGAAACCCACGCAGGCACAGGGAGAACATGCAAACTCCAGGCAGGTGTTGCCGTAGCTGGGATTTGAACCAACAACCCTAATGCTGACAGGTGGAAGTGCTAACCATTTAGCCACTGTACTGCCCTTCACTTATTTAGAAGCTGGATGTTGGTTTACTTTAAGGATCATTTAAAGTAAATCTCACTCCTAAAGCTGCAACTTTGTTTTATACGGTGCATGTGCAGTGCAGTGTATACTCCTGATCTGTAATTTGCCAAGGATGGGGCTGGAAGCTGAGATTATGTAGCTCCAGTGTGAATGCGCGAAGGGTACATCAAAAGTGGCTGCACAAAGGGTGAAGAAAGAAGATGTAGCAGGAAATAAGATAGCAGTGGCATCGATCAACAGGTGATGGGGAGCACAGAGCTATCATTCCTGGAGGAGGGAAAAACCCAGAGATGTTTGCAATAATGTGTGCATACTTGAAAAATATAGCAAGTTCTGCCACAGTTCTGCTTTAACCACTTGAAGACCAAGCCTATTCTGACACTTGTCTCCTACATCTAAAAATCTGTATTTTGTTTTTTTGCTAAAAAATTACTTAGAACTCCCAAACATTATATATTTTTAAGCAGAGGCCCTAACGAATAAAATGGCGGGTATTGCAATTTTTTATGTTACGCAGTATTTGCTCAGTGGTTTTCCAAACACAATTAAAAAAAAAATTAATTTTAGTGCGCACAAACACAATATAATACCCGGTTTTATGGTAAAATATTATGTTAGATGATCCGCAAAGTAAATAGATACCAAACAAATCATGATTTAAAATTGCGTACATCCATGGAACAACGCCAAACTACATACATTAAATTATCCATAGGCAATGCTGTAATTTTTTTTTTTTTTTTGTACACTAACTTTAAATATTTTTTAATCAACTTTATTGCTATCACAAGGGATGACCAACATCCTTTGTGATAGCATGGGCAGTGACAAGCAGGGGCGGACTGACCATTTGGAAACTCGGGCCCTGCCCCTGGTACCTTTTTCATAGGCTTTTTTGAGTTTGGGCAAGGACACATCCCCTATTGCCCGGGGGCCCCATGAGTTGTCAGTCTGCCCCTGGAGACAAGTCTTCTTTACTGAGACCCCAGATCTCTCCTCTGCCCTTAAAAAGCATCTGATCAAACCAAGATGCTTTTCCCAAGCCAGTAATGGCTTGTTTATATTTGGCACAAATAGAAGTGACAAAATACTTGTTGCTTCTGGTTTCTTAGACCATAGAGATGATCGGGGACATTCTGGTCCTAGAACATCTTTATGGTCCAGACTCCCTGGTGGGACAGGAAGCCATTAGCCACTAGGACAGTTTTTACAAAAAAGTGCTCCACCGGTTAAAAACAACAATACCGGAATGATGCCTGTAGCTGCAGGCATCATCCCAGAAAACCCGCTCAAACATAAAGCTAAATTGTTTTTTAACCATTTCAGCACCCACAATGTACCCATATGTCAGGGGAGCTGAAGTGGTTAAAACACAATTTAACTTTATGTTCAAATCAGCTAAATACATGCAAGGTGCATCAAAACAAATGGTTTAAAATGGATTCCACCCTCTGAAGACAGACGTTGCTGGTGCATCTTGGCCCACTGTATCTGCATTGAACTGAACTGTGAGTGACACCCAAAGCGGTGCTCTCCTGGTGGGGTTGTTTGTATTTGGCATTCTCTGCAATATAAGTTCTGAGTTTACCTGCAACCGGACTCAGTGTCTTTACTGCCACACCACGCTGCACCTACACACAGGCATACTGCAGAGAAAGACCCTTGCCTTCTATGTGGAAGCAGCTGTTTCCTTGCCGGGTTCAGACACATCCCTTACTGAGTCAGACCTATAGCTCTGCCATCAGCAAATCACTTGCACCTTGCTGATTGGAGAGTTGTAGTTTTGACTCAGCAGGTGTGTGCTGGACCTTTGCAAGGGGAACACTGCTTTCCTACAGAGAGCAAGAATCCTTCTCTGAAGCATGTTGGCAGCAGACAGATTTTTTCACTCAGGCTGTGGCTGTTTTCTAAAGAAAACAAACACTTTTTGTGCAGCTGATTGTATCTGATTTAAATTGAAAGGTCACATTTAAAACCCTATACATACTTTTTTTAAAAGTCCTTTTGCTGGTCCAGTGATGTCACTGAAACCTCTTTTCTCCCAAGAAAACCAGTTCGGCTGGAGTTCTGCTTTAAGCAGAAATGCTATAGGAATACCATGATATACAGATGACAACTAAAGGATTTTTAGTTTTGACTATATATTGTAAAGCGCTGAGCAAACTGTTGGCGCTATATAAATCTTGTGTAATAATAATAATAACTATGAAATTTAGTAAGTATTTTTAAATTAGGAATATCAACTACAGACAGTCTTTTAAAGTATGACTCTTTTTTACTTTCGTGCAAAAACAACCAGAAAAAACCTCTAAATACTGCCCTTAAGCCAGCCATGCACGGATTGAACTCCGAAAGAATTTTCTTTCGAAAACCTTTTCTGAGAATTTTTGTTTGAATTTCACACCATTAGCTGGCCACAGTATTGGACGATTTTCAAACAACCATCGAATTTGAGTGATCTGGCATGTTGGAAATGTTTTGAAAAATGAATTAATTTCTAATCAATGATGGGAGAATCGTACAAGAAATGTAATTCAAAAAGAAATGAACATGAGCTGTGAACTGGAAAGAAAAGAAAATTCTTGGCCAGGAATGTTCTTTTCTGTAACAAAACGAGGTGAAATGAAAGGCTTGTTTGGTCAAATTTTGAAACCAATGGTGGCACCATCGGATTACTAAATGCACAAAATGTCCGATTTTCTAAGGAAAATGTATCCTGCATTAGTTTCCTTTGAATTTCTTGTGACTTTATTGAATCATGGCCATCCTAAGTAGCTTTTTTTGTCATTTTAATTGATCTGCATGTTTTCTGCTTTGCCAAAACAACAAACACCCAGAGCACCTGGGAGAGACCTAATTTACATGTATGCAAGTTTGGGAAGGTGTTCAGTGTATTTGTGTATTTATATCTATATAGTATCTATATATAGAAGAATTTGGCTAGAGCAATGCATCATGCACTGCACAGCTAGTTAATGATACACTTGGGAGAAGAAGGGAGTCCTCTCCTGAGAAGAGCTCCTACTAGAGCCTAAATGCTGCCTCCATACATTATTCATCCTACATCGCTCTGTCCGCCAATGTATATATAGGAAGGAACCTAGTTTAGAGCCTTCCCAGGGATTATAAATAAACTCCTTAAAGGAAATTTAGTGGCTCTGCAAATGTGAAGAACAAAAAAAAGACTGTAGTATTTCAAAACTAAAGGGAAACTCCACCAGTAACCCCCGTGTTCCATAGCCTCCCTCACTACTTTACTGTTGGATGCAGATTGTCTGCCTTTTCTCCTGTAGTATGAAACAGGCTGTGGTGCCTTTGCCTTTAAGCTGAAACAGCTAAATACACAGATTAAATAAAAGTATGGGAGCTGTCTGCCTGGCATGGATTTTAAGGCGATGTTAAACCCAAAAACAAAAATATATTGCAGCTTACTAATCATTAGATGTGGTGGCTGCATTCGTTTTCTTTTTGTTAGGATTTTTTCATCTGATGATCTGGTCAGTAACAAATCAGAGCCTCTACTCTGGATGAAGGAGCACAGGGGGCATCTTTCAGACAGGAGTATTATTATTATTACATCGAATTTATATAGCGCCAAAGGGTTTGCTCAGCGCTGTACAATAGAGGGGGGGGGGGGACAATACATGAAACAGCACAGCAACAACAAACAGCACAGGAAGAGTTAGAGGGCCCTACTTTTTCGAGTTTACAATCTAGAAGTACTATCAGTCGGGGGGGGGGGGGCAGTGTTAGATGTACTAGCAAATTTAGATACACTATCAAATTCAAGCCAGACTCCAATTAATCATTTATAAGCAGTTACAGAGCAAACTGTTTTTTTTTTCTTTTGGGATGAAGGTTTTACATACAGTAAATAAATAAACATTGATCATTGTAAGCACCCCTGTCATTGGTAAATGGTTTGTCTCATCACTGTAACTGATACATTTGGAAGAGAGTTTGTTCTTTTGAGAAAACAACAGGCTTATTGGCCAGACCAGATTTCCGACTTACCCTCAGTCTAATGGCTTTATTATTACTCTTTAATAAAATATTTGTTTGTACCTTTTTCATCCTTCTCTGGATCTCCTGATCTACTCAAGCCTAATTAAAGCCATTCCTTGTCTACATACACCCCAGCACTGAATTTCTTGGTGGGTTTCCTTAAGGTGACAACAGTAGACCCCGTCTGTGCACTCTGTAGTCTTCATGGGAGGCCCGTGTGACAGGATGACAATGTGGGAGCACAATCAGAGGGTGACAGGGACAAAGCGTTTCACGCTATAACGGGAAGTGCTCAACAATGACCTTCATGGCAGGATCTACAGGTATTATTTTAATTAAAGCTGCAGATATTGGAGTGAGAACAGTAACTTTATGCTCCTCATTTACGGTTTACGCTAAACTGATGACCTGTAAAAGCATTTAAAGTATCACCTATTGATCATTTTGGGTACCATACATTTTCATCATTTTCCAGGTGCACACAGTGTTGAGGCTTAACACATTTGGTATCTATTTACTCCACACAACCTCATCTTTTCATTTTGTACAACAAAATTAACTTTTGTTTGTGCAAGATAAAATTTATTTTAGTGTATTTTTCCCGAAACTATTGATCTGATAGTGCTGGACTCCACTGAATTTCCTTTTTAAGGTGAATATTCAGACACATACAGTGTTGATTTTCTAAAATATAACAAAAGTGATGATTCATTTCAGTGATGTGCAAGAAAAATACAGTTTTTTCCCTTGCACATGATTATGAATTCATAATTGGGAAAGTAAGCATTCTGTACTGCTTTCACAGCTTCTCGTCCCCCCCCCACTGTACTAAAACGGTGTGATGGAAGCAGCACTGATGTAGGTTGACATACCCGTATGTCACTCCGCATCTGCCGTTTGTGCACACTCCCTAGGATCGATCACACAGATTACATGGTACAAGGCCATTCACAGCAGCCTTGTACCATGTGATGTGATAGCTGTGACCAATCACAGCTAAAACTATTTTTATTTAATTTCTTAATTTTCCAAACAATTGTGACAAAAATGACAACTTCAAAAAAATCATGCCTCATACTAAATACCTTGGACTGCCTAATTTCCAACAAGGGTTCATTTGGGGGGTAATTGTACTGTCCTGTAGTGTGCCCTCCTGAGCCTCCCTGTACTGTTCTCTTCTGAGCCCCCCTGTGGTGTGCCGTCCTGCTCCCCCCCTGTGGTGTGCTGTCCTGAGCCTGCCTGTGTGCCCTTCTGAGCACCCTAATAGTGTGCCCTCCTGAAGCTCCCTTTACCTTGCCCTCCTGAGCCGGCCTGTAATGTGCCCTCCTGAGCCCCCATGTGGTATGTCCTCCTGAGCTCTCCTGTAGTGTGCCCTCCTGAGCCTCCCTGTACTGTTCCCTTCTGAGCCCCCCTGTGGTGTGGTGTGCTGTCCTGCTCCCCCCGTGGTGTGCCCTCCTGAGCCCCCCCCCCCCTCCCCTGTGGTGTGCCCTCTCAAGCTCCCTGTGGTGTGCCGTCCTGAGCCTGCCATTCTGAGCACCCTAATAGTGTGCCCTCCTGAAGCTCCCTTTACCATGTCCTCCTGGGCCCCATGTGATATGCCCCGTGGTGTTCCCTACAGAGGCACTCTTTACCATTCCCTTCTGAGTCCCAATGGGGTTGCCCCCTCCTGAGTCCCCCCTGTACCATATCCTCTTGCACCCCTTTGTATCATGTTCTTTTGTACCTCCCTTGTACCGTGCTCTTCTGAGCCCCCCTTGTAAAATGCCCTCTTGACTTCCCTCTTGTGTGCTTTCCTCACCCCCCCCCATACCATGCTCTCCTGACCTCCCTGTATTGGGCCCTCCTGATCCCCCTGTATACTGCCCTGCTGACCCCCTGTTGTTTGCTGTGCTGACACCCTGTTCTCTGCCCTGCTTTTCCCTGTACACTGCCCTACCTACTACTGACCTCTGTACATTAATCCAGCTACTACTGACCCCTGGACACTGCTCTACCTACTACTGACCCTGCCCTAACTACTACTGACTTCTGTACACTGCTGTACCTA